GGTCCCCGCCATAGTGATACACGAGTTCGCTCATACTCAGGGGCCCCCAATGTAAAAAGCCCTCGAAATGTCATAAAAATCGTAATATGGCTCAAGCATCCCCATTAAGACCCTCGAGCGGATGTGCTGGAGAAGATCAATCCTCTCCTCATTGTGGCCTACGGTGGAAGCTGGGGAAACCATTGAAGAATTTGGTTTGTAAAGTAAACTTGCGAAAATTCAGATAAGCACCGGAGATTTTTTGGGCAAGAACTCATAAAGAATTCTTTTTCGCCCCCAATGAGCTATTTATAGTATCCTGAAGAGGCATGAGGATAAATCATAATGATTTTCTCGTTTTGAAATAAACGAGCGAGATTCACCTCAAAATCTCAAACGGTTAGCTCGAAACTCGAAGCGACGTTCTTATTTACTCCACACATCTTCGCTCGAAAATCAAAATGACACCATTACTCTAACAAATGGCAGCATCATTACATCATCCTCAGCAGTGACATTTCGTCAGCCCAATAAAGGCCTCTGGAAGCTCGCTAAATAATGTCCGCTAGGAAAAGTCTACCAGGCCCTAATCGACCCGCCACAGCTGACAAGTTGACTTTAAGGATATTTCTCAGACAACTCGCCCAACTTGCTCAGATACTAAGTAGCAAGAGCAGTTGATCATATTAGCCTAAGACTTAGAAAAGATTAATCCTTCGAAAGCTAACTTACTCAAGTTTGAGATGTCTCCTCACCATAGAGGATGAGTCATCTCGGGTTAATGATTAAGTCTACCAGTCCACATTAAAACTAAGTCATCTGGTAAACATTCTGAGATTATGCAACATAGAGAAGCAATTCCAAAGTGATTCTTTATCATATTTCACTCGGACCCAGCTAAAGCTGACTCCAAGTGAAATGGGTCAACTGTTATGGTATTCCCATTTGCCAAAATGCAACTCGCCAAACAAAGGATGGGTGTATTTCTACAAGCAAGACCCCAACCAGCTTGGTGGCCCAAGCCCAACGGAGGTCCTAACTTGGCTGATTTATCAAGTCAACACTCTTCATGATGACTCAAGAATCAGGATTAGTCAACCATTTTGTCAAATTTGACTCGTCTAGAGCTCATTCGACCTTTTATTCAATGCCCTACGAGGACGACTCGATGGGCGTTACTTCTCGGTGAAACTGAAGGATAATATATACCTCGGGCTTCTCCCTCTGGCTATATCTGAGCATAGCGGTCAATGCTGGATAGGTCCCATCATGACCCTAGTCCTAATAGTCTTCTTAACTCGTCATATCACATGGGCTCTGTCACGTCGCCGATCACTCTCCATTCGATGCTGAGATGATCTCTCCAATGGTGAAGTGATCTTTGCCCCAACTACCTACTAACACCCATAAAGTGGGTGCTGACGTAGCCATCAACCCATTCTCCCTCTCTCTTCTCATTTAATACTGAGGAGATCCTCCCTCTAGTTGCCAGCCAACACCCGTAAAGTGGATGCTGACACAGCCACCAGTCCATACCTCGCTATTACTTCTCTGTACTCTGTTAAAGTGTCCAATCTACCCTTCTCTTATAGTATAAATACAGGTACAATTCACCTTTTATAAAAGGGGGGCTATTCCAAAAAGAGAAGGAGAACTCTTAAGTTCTGCTTCTTCTCCCACTCAAGTTTACCATCTAACTTGATCGTCGGAGGTACAATAGGGAACCTATCCTCGTCCTCTCATGAGTTTTTACATATGCAGATTTTTTAGTTTCCCAATTTAAGAACTAGACATAAAGTCGGAGAAGGAGGCGGCCCCCTCATCAATCTCTTTTATCTCATCAAGATTATTCTACCCTAGATACATACTGACTGTGTGATCACTAGAACATTAACAGTTTTATATTATCTTCTCATAAGGGTAATCTTCAGGTATATTCTATAACTCTAACTTGTTGTATGTATATTTTTGGTTGATGCATGAGATACTCTGGCATGTAGTAACTTATTTGCTTTTATTACTTATCAGTTTAGTTATGCATGCTCACCTGACTTGTTGTATGTACATAATATTTTTTTGGATTTTATTTGATTTTTTATTGCCCTTTGGTTATTTTTATATATTTAAAACAAAATAGAAATTTCACTTTCTATCATTTTATTTTCTTATGAAAAATCAAAAAATAGAATAAAAAATTCTTTTATTTTATTTTTCTTTTTTATAAAAAAACTTGGACATGCCTATGTATACTCTTACAAGATATATGCATGTAAGATTATCTATCGGTGTATAAGCATGAATTTATCATATTAATTCATATATTTTATAAATCTATATATGCTATATGTGCTCGCAAAGTTATACATACATGATTGATAAACACGATAGTTCACAATATGTTTCATATTACTTTCAACATCTTAATATTATCTGATCATGTTTAGTATTGCAAAAATATGAATAACTATTTTTATATCTTATTCATGAAGTTTTTTTTAGATATATCAAAAAGTTTGAGCTTAATCTATACTTCAATACAGTACCAAAAAATCTACACATGTACAAAGTGCATATATGTAATAAAATATCAAGAAAAAAGAGTATATTCATGAAAACAATGATCAAAGATCCACTCTATAAATCCATGCCAAAATTAAATGTATTTATTAAAAGATGATCAAAGACTCACGCTTGTAGATATAATTGTGCAATATCTCAATATCCATATATACTAAATATTTCCCATATTTAGAGATGATGTACATCACCCTCCAAACACTATTTTGTACGTCCTCTTAAAAAATTTCTATATAGTTAAGGTGATAGATCGAGATTTTAGACTTTTTTAAATGTTGAGATAATTCAAGTTGTGTAACTAAAGAAGAAGCTCAAACTAGACAAGATATAGCTAAATTTCTTTTATGAACTAATATAATTACATTAGTAAAAAAATAAAACATCATAAACAAAAAAAATTCTTTCTAGGATAAAGGCATTATAGATGAAAAGTTTTCATCTAGGATACTCCGTCTAGGATGAAACATCTTAGAAAGAAATTTGTCTAAATAAGTTTTTCTAAATGGGTATTTTTAATTTAATTTTTTTCTAGTGGTCCCGCCATCTTAGACGGAATTTTCTGTCTAGAATATATCCCAGATAAAAAATTCCATCTAGGATAGCGGGACTCAATCGGAATTTTTTTAGGTGGGTCAACTATCTAGATGGAGTTTTCTATTTAGGATATAACCTAGATGGAAATTTCCATCTAGGATAGTGAGACCCACTAAAAAATAAAGTTAAAATAAGATTGGAGAACGGCCTTAGCGTGTTCAAAATTCATAATTTTAGAAAACCCTAGCCGATCCACAAATCTTTGCTGACCCGCTACTCCACCATCAAATGTCTCTCCACCCTCCTCTGCTACTCCACCACACCACTGCTCCACCGGTGCTGGTGCACCATCCGCCTCCGTCGCTCGACACCCACGCCGTTCCACCTTCTCCACCAGTGTGATCAGCCCGCCCTCCACCGACCTCCGCCACTGACTACAGCAACCACCTAAGCTGACGAGCATTGCAACCGCTGGAAAGCTCGATTTTAATAATTTTGATTTGAGGTAAAATTTTAGACCTCTAGAGGTTGTATTCTCTTGTATTTTTATTTTTATGGGAATTTTAGTTTGAATCACATATCTTCTCCAAACTGCAGATCTAATGATGCCTCTATAACCTCGATAATCGCTACCGGTGATGTCATTACTACTCCTTAAAGTTGCCACTGCGATCCTATATCGTCCTCTCCCTCATTTAAGGTGTGCTTCATAAAAATATTATTTTTTATAACTTTATCAGTTTATTATTCAATTATCTTTGTGTTACTCATCTTAATCAAGCTGTATTTTTGCCAAAACTTCCTTAATCCTAGCTCTAATTAGTAAACAATTTTGATTATTAAAACCCTAATTTAAACCATAATAACATTAATTGAACTATATTTAGCCTTAATATTCTTAACTCTAATTGAAAACTTTTTAGAAATTAATCGTAAGTGGAAACCCTAATCCTAACTTTAACTATATTATTTTCTAACTTTATCCTTAATGTGCATGCTATATGTGGTTGTATATGTTTGTTTGTGTAGTGATAATGTTTGATTTATCGAACAATTATTTTTTTTGAAAATAGTTTAATATATAACTCAATAATATGTTATATATCTAATTTAGGTGAATAAAAAATAATTAACGTTACCTTTGACCCTATCCAACAATTATTGTCAATTCTTTGGACTTCTAATACAAGATAGACGACTCAGTTTGGACATGAAATTAAGTTTTTCATCCAAAAAGGGAGCGTGTATCTTATGTTATAAGTAGAAATAAATAACATTAATTATTGGATCTATCTTGTTTGGACGGGCTAGGAATATAGTAGTACATCATCTAACTTTGTATATTTGTGTATTTCGTTTCTAGAAAATATTGGTAAAACATACTCATTATTCTCTATGTATAATAAGCATATGTTGTTCTATGTTTAGGTCCATAGCTGATATGCATAATAACATCCGCACAATGTACTCAAAGAACAATAGGTAGGTGTTGCCAAAATTTTCTAGAAATAAAAATTTATAAAGTATATAAAGTTAGATGTACGTATTACTATATTTTTAGTGGGATAGAAGTCTTCCTATTATAGCTGGTAGAGTGTTCAAATCAACGTACAATTAATTTATATTTAGAGGGGAAAATATTTTTTGTGTTGTTAAATGAAACATGCGTATACGAATAATGTGTGTATGTATATATATTGTTTTGAATAGTTAAAATTTTATTCGTAGTTGGGAGATTAATTGGAGTTTCTATTATCTACAGATGAGGGCAATTCTAGATAAGTCATGGATAGATATTCCTAGGATTGAACGATATTGTGATCAACGATATAAGGACTGATGTCAAGCCTTCCCGAGGTATACCAAAATAAACACAAATAGTTTAAGTAGTGATGCGATCTACTCCCCCTGTCTTAGGTGTAAGAATATGAAGTTGAAAAATAGAGAGTAAATATGAAATCACTTAACAAACTCTGAGTTTTATGAGGAATATAAACACTGGTCATATCACGAGGAGACTGTATTGAAGATGAAGTACCAGATGTGCATGTAGATATGATCGATGGTTTAAGGATAGTTGATACAAAAAATTTACAAACTGATATTGGACCCGACCATATTGAATATGATAACAACAATGATAGTGAATATGATAGCACAAATGATGTCCAAGATGCAACTGAGGTCGAAGATATTGGTGGACCAGAAGGTTTTGAAGATGTTCATATTTCTGAGGAGTTAGATCAAATAATGAAGCCATTAGATTATAGTGAAAAGGACTTGTATGAAGGTTTCACTAAGTAATCTAGATTTTCATTTATGTTGGAACTCTTGCATATTAAGAGTCTTAGTGGAATGACAAGCACTTATTTCAAAATGCTTCTTGATTTGCTAAGGAAGATAGTTCCAAGAGGAAAGCATAACATTCCTAAGGCAACTTATGTAGCGAAACAGATATTTTTTATTTGGTTTTGATTATATTAAGATTGATGCACTTCCTAATGATTGTATTCCCTACTATAAGGATAACAAAGCCCTTCAATAATGGTCAACATGTGGATTATCTTGATAGAAACAACACACCTGCTCTTCAACAAGGTAGATAATAAAGGCAATAGAGATGCAGAGGAAGATTCCAGTGAATGTTCTTCATCATTTGTCATTAGTTTCAAGATTACAATGGTTGTATATGAACAAAAACACCACTAAGAACATGAGGTGGCACAAAGAAGGTTATAACATAACATGGTAAACTGAGACATTCTGACAATGCAAAGGTTTGGAAGCGTATTGATAAAACTTTTCCCAATTTTGCCCATGAATGTAGAAATGTTAGATTTGGGCTATCTAGTGACAGATTCATTTCGTACGAGGTTATGAGTTTAGGTTGGTCTACATGGCCAGTTGAATTAATACCTTATAATTTACCTCTATTGCTTTATATTAAACAACCGTATATAATACTCTTATTGTTGATACCCGACTAGCATGCACCAGGTAATGATATTGATGTCTATTTAGAGCCTATGATTGATGAGCTAAAACAATTATGGTCAAAGGGTTTGTTGATCTATGATGCCCATGCTAAAGATTCATCTAGACTATGTGTTATTCTAATATGGATAATTAATGATTTTCTAGCTTATGCTAATCTGTTTGATTGGTCTACAAAGGCAAGTTTGCTTGTCTAGTAATTTAAAGGCCTTTGCTTACCATATAGCCGAAAGTGTTGTTATCGATTCAACAGGAGATGGTTGCCCCTAGGCCGCAAATACAGAAAATTAAGCAATAAGTTTGATGGTGACGTTGAAACCAAGAGTAAGCTACATCAATTTATTAGAGCTGATATTGTAAAGTTGCTTGAGCTTCTTCCAAACATAAGATTTGGAAAGAACCAGTATTCTAAGGACGGCTCACTCAAAGTTAGAGACACATGCAAGAATAAAAAGACACTGAAGCAGAAGAGAACAACCCAACAAGTATTGTTCATAGTGGAGCCGATAAATTATCCAAAGGATGGAGTAAATTTAGTATCTTCTTCTAGCTACTATATTGGTAGACACTTAAAATTAGGTATAGCTTGGATGTCATGCATATTAAGAAAAATATTTGGGACAACATAGTGTCAACCCTTCTTCAAGATCTCAGTAAGTCAAAGGAAGACCTAAGGGCTCATTGAGACTTGGTTGTATCGAATATCTGGTAAGATTTGCAAGCACAAGATGTTAGACTTAAGAAAAAACATAAGCCTTTCTCTCGTGTTACAATGTCGACAGAGCATATGAAGAAATTTTGTGATGTCCTCAAATCAGTAAAGCCACCGGATGGGTATTCTGCTAATATATCAAATAATATTCAGGTGCAAGAGATGAAACTTTTAGATCTAAATACTCATGATTACTGCATTCTTCTTTATCAATTGCTCATGGTTGCATTACGTAACAATATAGAGAAAGAAGTGTCCAAAATTATTATGGAGTACTGTGGATTCTTTACAAAATTATGATCTAAAGTTGTAGATGTGAATGAATTTAAAGAACTTGAAGCAATAGTGTCATTAATTCTATGCAATCTTGAAGTAATATTTTCTCCTCCTTTTTTCACGGTTATGGTCTATCTTACTCAAAATATAGCAAGAGAAGCAATAATTGTAGGTTATGTGTTGTATCATTTGATATACCTAATTGAGAGGTTAGGGACTTCACCCACTCCATTAATTTTATATGCAATGTATACATCTATAATTTATAGTTGTTAAAACATTTCTTATTGTAGATATTTGTAATTGTTGAAGCTTGCCTTATTGTAGATATTTGGAGTTTACGAAACGCCTAGTTTGCAAATGGGCTCATCGGGAGGATTCTATAGCTAAAGGTTATGTGACCAATGAATGTTATATTTTTGCATCACATTACATGCACAATTATGGAACAACGGATCAGACACCAATTAAGAATAAAAAGCTCATCAAATATCTGAGATGTGACTTATAGCATGCTCACGCATATGTATTGAACAATCTTGACATTTTTAGTGATTATTGAGGGTAACGTATATAAGTTAAGAATAAAATCACTCTTAAATCATTTACTTTTGATTTACCAATATAATCTCACTTGTTGTATAAATAGGAGACATCTGGAAAAGCTTAACAATAAAATATCTAACAGGAACACATCACATGATATTTAAAAAAAACATGTCAAGATTTTCCTGATTGGTTCAGAAATGATATAAGTAGAGTAGCATTAGTATTATATTTTTCATTTTAAATCTTTTAGTAAACTTGAGGTAAATTATTTTCAATTGATGTCGGGTTTATGTTGATAAAAACCTTGTCTTTGGTGCCTTAGTATTCAAAGAAATTTTAATTCACGCTCAACATGCTTACCATGAAGTGAGACGATACAGTGAACACCTCATGGATGGGTATAAGTTTAAAAATGATGGCGACTGATGATAAGAGGGTAACACAGAACGACAAGATTATGTGTTGTTTTACTCAAGAATGTTTTTCTAGGAGAAGAAATCAGAACCTAGTTGAAGCTGATATATTATATTATAGCCAATTAGAGGACATTGCAGAGATAATCTATGGATATGGTAAAAAAACTAGTATAGTTACATAATATTTAAGATTCGACCAGTCCATGCAAAATCGCTCAAGGATCATTATGGGTTTACACTTGTCAATCTCAACAAAGAAATATATCCAGATGAGAAGTTCATATTCACAGAATAGGCGGATTGGTGCCTCTGTGTGAAAGGCATGAAGGTTATAACCGATTGGATCATGTTATGTAGGGAGCCAAGATCTGTTGTTCTTCCTAATAATAAGGAAAATATTGATGAGGATAATGAATCAATTGGTTCATCTTATGATATTTGGAAAAACTCCTCCTACCCTTAGAATGTCATGCTTGATATGACTAATTTAGAGATTCAGGCCAACATTCCAATTCTGATCATAGACAGAGACTCCGAGTCTAATATGCAAATAAGTCAACAACTAGTAGGTGAAAGCAGACAATGTTAAATATAGCCAGAACAATACAAACACAATCCCGTGCAAAACATAAAGAGCAAGTTGCAAAAGGTATATGAACTAAAAGACAAATTAGTCTTTAAAAATTTTCTTTAATATTTTTAATTACAAGCAAATATTTATCTTATTATCATGTACATATTTCTTATTTTGCATCTCATAATTCACTTTTACATATGAAGAATTTGAGGTTCTTTGATGGATCGCGTGATCGATCACGGTATACCACCCCATGCTCAGGTCGTCTTCAAGAGGCCCACCTAGCATCGCCTTCTCATATAAGTATTAATTATGCATTATCTTTGGATTATTCAAAATAGATATTCTTGATGTGTTTGCACTAATTATTTCCTTCAAATGTCTAGATGATATTTCATTATAGGGTCGTCTCCTAGACACATCCCTAGCAGAGTCTCCCCATAGAGTATTAATAATTCAGTATTTGTATTAATAATTCAATAATTTTTAAATTAGAAATTTATTATTTATGATATGTGTTTGTATCGATTATTTTTTATTTTTATAGATGATATTTCAAGGTCAAATTATTCGACACTCAGACCCGCTAATACGCAATCAGCACCATCCCCCTCTATAGGTATTGAGCAGTTAATCTTTTTATAGTGATAATTCAATTTTTTTTGGTATTGATTATCTTCTTTAATTATGTAGATGCTTCATGGACACCATCATTGTTATTTGGTGTAGCGGGGTTGAGTTAGAGGGGTTGAGTTACAAACCTAAGACTCTTGACATTAGCCATCTACTATTGCCTATAGACATGATGAGATCAAAATCTAATGCGATGAAAAATCATCCATTTGCATTAAAAAGGCTAGAGGACCTGAAGCCTATGATACAAGTTAGAAAATATACTGCAATCGCCGAGAAGAATAGACAGGTGGAGAGAGGTAAATATAATAATTTTCCTTTCATTCTATCTCAATTTTACACCATGTGCTATACTAAACATATTGCTGTCATTGTAGGTGTAAAACCTAATCCCAATTGTCAGGGAGGATAGAATGCAAACAAGTCTGAGTCAAAACAAGCGCCAAAAGGCTTTCGAGCTATTCTTCAGTGGGCCAATAATTTGTCGATCGGACAATGGTCGATAAAATTTAATAACTATATCGATGTTTTAGTGCGCCGAGCAAATATCATCAACTTGTACTTCAAACTCACAGAGCTGCCATGGAGCTCCTACGAGGATATACGGAGAGAGCTTATGGTAACATTTTTTTTACTTCGATGCTTTTTATTGCTTTATTATTCTAAATAAGGTGATCTATTCATATTTCTAGGTCTTCTAAAAGATTATTTCTTTCTCTAATAACATTATTATAGAATAAAAGGTGTATTTGCGTAAACTTATCCATTTGGAGTAACATGGAAGTGTTAGAATATTTTGGTAGGCTTTAACCATTCGATCTAAAAGGATTAATAATTCTCCCCTGCGAGTTTTTCATTGAAATCTTTGTATTTAAAAGGAAGTGTTGGAATATTTTGGTAGGCTTTAACCATTCCATAGTGGTTAAGAGATGCTCACATGGACACATATTTTGTTTTGTTGTACTTTCCATGTAATATTTAAATCCATCTTTATGCATCTTGTGCAAATTTATCTTTTAGATATGGAAACCAATTTGCCACCTGGATTTGCAATCAGATAAATCAAAACTGCTCATTGTTAACTTAAATCGGTTTTAGCAAATGCCAGCAGACCTCTTGCTGATTTTTTGTAAAGAAAATATCAATCTAATTATATCTATGTAAATTTGTAGGAATACTATTGTCTTGAGGACTGTCTTGGAGCATTGCAACATGTTTTCAACGTAAAGATTGAGGTCGTGCTCAAATAGTGGTGTGTGAGTGAGGGCTACCCACGTGGGCACGTGGGCCTAAGCTTCGTGGGCCTGGGCTTTCGGGTGGGTGGCTTCCTTTCCGTGTGATGTACAGCCACGTTCGTTTCCTATAAATAGGAACAATTGCTAGGGTTTCGGCTGTGGGGGAAATAGCTGGTGGAAAAACGCAGACAGAGGGTTTTTAGAGAGTGTTTAGCCGGCTATTAAAGGAGAAGAAAAGAGAGTTTAGGCAGCGAATAAAAGAGATCTAAAAGAGAGATATTGAGGAAAGAAAAAGAGGGATTTTATAAAAGGGAGGTTAATTTCTTTTGGGTAAAAATCAGATCTTTTTCTTTGAGACGAGCTTGTGGATTGTACAAGTCATCGGTGTTCTCCTTATAGTGGAATCTCCCCTCATCCCCTCCCGTGGACGTAGGCAATTTTGCCGAACCACGTAAATCTCGTGTATTTATTGTTTTCTGGTTGTTGGCTATTGCTTGTAGGTTCCCTTAATATTCGGTCTTAGAGCTGATGAGAGGAAGAGTGTATATTTTACTTTGATGAAATATATCACTTTCGATTCTTGTTTCCTTTGAGAAATAAGAATTTTACTATCTATTCTCGTTTCCTTTGAGAAACAAGAATATAGAGGTTGACTCGTGTTTTTGTGACAACAAAAGCCAGGGCTATCTCTCAGGTGATATCGCTTCCGCGGCGGTGGGCGTGACTCTGCGCCCAACAATTGGTATCATAGCTGTTAATCAGATTATGAGTGGTGTAGCTTCTGGTTTGAGGTGGTGCTCGACAATTTCCTGAGAGAAGCAGATTTATTAATACAAGCGGAGAATGGCGTCAATAAGTAAAACAGTTAAAGTGGGAAAATACGAGATTGAAAAATTCAATGGGAAGAATGATTTTTCCTATTGGAGGATGTAGATGAAGAACACGTTGATTTCGCAGAAATTGCACAAAGCTTTGGTAGGAAAAGAGAAGAAGCACAAGGATATGTCTGATGAGGATTGGGAGGAGCTGGATCTGGAAGCACGGGCGTCGATTATCCTTTGTCTTGAAAGGGATGTAGCTTTCTTGGTAGATGGAGAGGAAACGGCTGCGGGCGTGTGATCGAAGTTAGAAACCACCTTCATGACGAAGAGTCTAACGAACCGGATCTATTTAAAATCCAAATTGTATACTTGCAAGATGGACGAGGGCTCGTCAATCCGGGAGTACATCAACAAGTTCGATAGGATCATATCGGACCTGAAGGACATCAATGTGACTGTAGAAGACGAGGATCAGGCGCTTCTACTACTTCTATCTCTGCCGAAGTCTTATGAGAACCTGGTGCAAACATTGATGCTTGTGGGAGACAATTTGACGATGGATGAGACTAGAACGGCGCTTCTAGCGGATGACCTTCGGAAGATTGCAACCAGTGACATGACTACTGGTGGTAACAAAGAACTAGTGCAGGGATTGTTTGCTAGAGGAAGGAGCAATAAGCGAGGAAAAGGCAAGGGAGGAAAGTCTAGATCTAAATCGAGACCCCTTGCGGGACGAGCGTGCTTCAAATGCGGTGAAGTTGGGCATTTCAAGGTCGACTGTCCTAACAAGAGAGTAGGTGGGAAAAATAACAACAACAAGACCGAGAGAAGAGAAGGCAAAGAAGAGGCGAGTTACGCATCGGAGGAAGGGAGCGATAAAGAATGCTATGTTGTTACGGGTAGCGAGGATACCTCCGGGAAATGGATTCTTGATTCTGATTGTTCTTACCATATGTGTCCAAATAGGAAGTGGTTTACTACCTATAGGAACATTGATGGTGGAACCGTATTGATGGGGAACAACCATGCTTGTAAAACGGTGGGGCTAGGTGATATCAAAATCAAGATGCAAGATGGAGTGGTTCAAACTCTAACGGACGTGCGGCACGTTCCCGACTTGCGGAAGAATCTTATCTCAGTGGGTGCATTGGACTCTGGTGGCTGCAAGATAGTTACAGAAAACGGAGTGAAGAAGGTTGTTCGAGGTTCCCTAACAGTGATGAAGGGTGTTCGTCACGGTAATTTATATACTCTCTCGGGTACGACGGTGACAGGAGATGCAGCGGTTGGAACTGAAGGAAGTGGTGGAGACCCATGTGAGCACACACGGTTATGGCATAGGCGGCTTGGGCACATGTCAGAGAAGGGTCTAGTTCTGCTTGGTAAGGAGGGTTTGCTGAAGAATCTGAAGAAACCTTGCATGGATTTTTGTGAGGATTGTGTGTATGGAAAGGCGCACATGGTTCATTTCTTGAAAAGCAATCATAAGAGCAGAGGTATACTAGATTATGTGCACACGGATGTTTGGGGTCCGGCTCAGACAACTTCCAAGGGTGGTTCCAGGTATTTTGTCTCGTTCATAGACGATTATTCTAGGTATGCTTGGATTTATTTTCTTAAGCATAAGAATGAGGTATTCGAGACATTCAAGAAGTGGAAGTCTGGGGTATTTTATCCCGAAACCTAAGTAGGGATAAAGTCAACACCTAACACGTGTTGCCGGGTAGGCTATTACCGTAACGATGGCGAAGTCTATGTATTCGATATCATAGCACAAAGTCTAAGGGAGTTCATTCCTTTAGCGCAACGTTATAAAAATGAGGTATTCGAGACATTCAAGAAGTGGAAAGCAATGGTTGAGAACAGGACAGGCAAGAAATTAAAGGCACTGAGATCTAACGGTACAGAGTATACAGATGGTGCTTTCAAGGAGTTCTGTGATCAGGAGGGCATTGTTCGACACTGGACAGTTAGGTCAACACCATAGCAAAATGGGGTCGCGGAGAGACTGAACCGAACATTGCGGGAGAAGGCAATGAGTATGTGATCTTATGCTAGATTAGGCAACGAATGGTGGGCAGAAGCGGTGGCTACAGCATGTTACATTGTGAACTGTTCTCCACATTCGACATTGGATGGTGATACACCCTATAGGGTGTGGTCAGGGGAACATGCGGATTATGAGAGGCTCAGAATTTTCGGATGTACCGCCTATTATCACGTCAACGAGGGAAAGCTTGACGCGAGGGCCAAGAAGGCGATATTCTTAGGATATGCAAAGGGCGTAAAAGGCTACCGCCTTTGGTGTATAGAAGATTCGAAGTTCGTGATCAGCAGGGACGTTACCTTTGATGAAAAATCCATGATTGCTAGGGCGCCCAAGGATGATGGTGTTGGGACTGTTGGGACTTCAAAGTCCCAGGTTATTGAGATAGAACCTAAAGACCAACCAGGTTCTAGTCATGTTCAAGTGGAAAATCAGGTAGATGATGAGCTTGAGCAAGAGGAGGTTCAGCAGGAGAATACACAGGCACTACAACAACGCTTCCACTAAGCCAAAGCGAGCATACAAGCAGGTACAGAAGCTGGGGGCTGATCAACCCCTGAAGCACTATGGGCATGTTAATTTGGTTGAATACGCACTCTCGGTGGAGGAAGATGAGCCGGTCTCCTTCAAGGAAGCTATTCGGGATAAAGATAGTGAGAGTTGGTTGGCTGCGATGGAGGAGGAGATGGAATCTCTTCGGAAGAACCAAACATGGGAGGTGGTCCCATTGCCCGTAGGAAGAAAAGCTATTGGTTGTAAGTGGGTGTATAAGAGAAAGGAAGATCCTTCAGAGCTCGGTGGTACAAGGTATAAGACGAGGCTAGTGGCTAAAGGGTTTGCACAAAGAGAGGGTGTGGATTACAATGAGATATTTTCTCCGGTGGTGAAACACACTTCTATTCGGGTGCTATTGAGTATTGTTGCTCATGGTAATCTTGAGCTGGAACAACTCGATGTTAAAACGACCTTCTTGCACGGAGACTTGGATGAAGAGATCTACATGCATCAACCTGAGGGTTACAAGGTTGAGAATAAGGAGCATCATGTATGTCGCTTGAGGAAGTCACTCTATGGACTGAAGCAATCTCCTCGGCAGTGGTACAAGCGATTTGACTCCTTCATGCTAAAGCATGGATTTTCCCAAAGCGATTACGATTGTTGTGTTTACATTCGGAAGCTTCGTGGAGGTGATTATATCTATCTCCTGTTGTATGTGGATGACATGCTTATTGCATCGAAGAACAACAGAGCTGTTATTCAGATTGGGAGTGGTGTAGCTTCTGATTTGAGGTGGTGCTCGGTAATTTTTTCTGAGAGAAGCGGTTTACTAATACAAGCGGAGGATGGCGTCAACAAGTAAAACAGTTAAAGTTGGAAAATACGAGATTGAAAAATTCAATGGGAAGAATGATTTTTCCTATTGGAGGATGCAGATGAAGAACACGTTGATTTCGCAGAAATTGCACAAAGCTTTGGCGGGAAAAGAGAAGAAGCACAAGGATATGTCTGATGAGGATTGGGAGGAGCTGGATCTGGAAGCACGGGCGTCGATTATCCTTTGCCTTGAAAGGGATGTAGCTTTCTTGGTAGATGGAGAGGAAACGGCTGCGGGCGTGTGGTTGAAGTTAGAAAGCACCTTCATGACGAAGAGTCTAACAAACCGGATCTATTTGAAATCCAAATTGTATACTTGCAAGATGGAGGAGGGCTCATCAATCCGGGAATATATCAACAAGTTCGATAGGATTATATCGGATCTGAAGGACATCGATGTGACTGTAGAAGATGAGGATCAGGCTCTTCTATTACTTCTATCTCTGCCGAAGTCTTATGAGAACCTGGTGCAAACATTGATGCTTGTGGGAGACAATTTGACGATGGATGAGACTAGAACGGCGCTTCTAGGGGATGACCTTCGAAAGATTGCAACCGGTGACATGACTACTGGTGGTAACAAAGAACAAGCGCAGGGATTGTTTGCTAGAGGAAGGAGCAATGAGCGAGGAAAAGGCAAGGGAGGAAAGTCTAGATCTAAATCGAGACCCCTTGCGGGACGAGCGTGCTTCAAATGCGGTGAAGTTGGGCATTTCAAGGTTGACTGTCCTAACAAGAGAGTAGGTGGGAAAAAGAACAACAACAAGACCGAGAGAAG